ATGAGAATACACAAAATAGAAAAAGAATATTTTGAATAAACATTAGGCATAAATACATAATAAACATGAATCCATGATATAAATCATCTACATAAGAGTCTAACAATATGAGACGAAAAAAATAATAAAAGAACAACAGACAATAGGGACTTGCATAACTGATCATCTGTCTAACACAAACTATTGTGAACAAACGGTTTACTTAGTTCATTGTAAATAAACATCGAATGCTGCTACACACCAATGAATAAATCATTTTTATAACTAATCGGCACCTTTTAATTAATGATGTAGACTAATTCAAGTGTTCAGTTAATTCAGACAAATTGTTGAAGTAGAGAAGGAGGCATCATATGAGAGCCTACTATAGATTCATTAACATGTCTATCATTAATATATGACACATTTAAAAATAAAACAACTCGGAGTAAGTCGACTCCAGTCTATTTGTCTACTGTAGATTAATATGAGATGGCGACAATTTCTGTGAACAATTCAATGGAACTCAGTATTTCTATAATTTATCAATCATCGTTAGATAGATAGTTCAATTAGTTATTTTTCACAGTGTATATTTACATTTTATTTTGAGAGTCACTAGGAATAATGATAACTGGAAAATTGTCAATTATGTACACATACACTTTATAAATAGAGTTTATCACTCATCATAACTACATAACACAAATGTCATTTATGAATATACTCCCAACAAGCTTTAAAAATATATTTATCTTTTTTCAGATTTGATGGTCTAGATGAGGAATTGATGCTGAGTATATTGACCAGTAATATATTAAATGTTTGAAAGATTAACGTATAAGCAAACACAGATAGTTGCTAGCGATGGAATCTAGGACGCGCGTTCCTTCCTAGTTAGGACTCATCAGTTGGATATGCCTGCATTTCAGAGTTGATTTTCACATTGAGATTTGAAATCATAACCATTCTTTTTAAACGTCCTGATAGCAACCTGATTATGCGACCGGGTTAATTTTAAATTCACTTGATACTGCTCACTTGAATCTTCCCATTGATACATAGTACTTCAATTGATGAACCTCCTATTGGCATATGTGCATACTTTTGCGTTTTGCCTAGATATTGCTTTAATTGGGTACTATTTTCCAGTCCCAGATTAAATATTCACTCTGACGAGTCCCAAATAAAACGAAACACATGTTCTGTATTTCATTGCTGGCCACTATTCATCTTTGTTTATAATGTTTATGAATTAAGGCAATATCGAAGCATTCCTTACATTATGTACATATACCAACAAGAAACTGATCATTTGCAATTCTTAAATAACAATCGAAAGATACAAGCAAACAATATCAAAAAGAACTAACACTCATTTCTTTATTCATTAACTTAGTAACATATAGCATCAATATATAGATGAACATTAATTAATGAATTAAATATTGAAATAGAATATGATATAATACTTTTATCATAATCAAGTAAACCTTTTTGTTTTACTGAAATCAAATTGTAAACATGAACTCAATAAAAGAAAATGTTTACATGTTTGTTTTTTTGTTTGTTTTTTTTGTTTTGTTTTTGGAATTGATATTTTTTTTCAAATACAAATAAAAAAAATTTAAGATGAATAAAAGCGAAAAACAAACAAAACAAATTTACACACTCTTTATGGAACACAATATGTGCAATAATCAATAATTCTTGTTCTAATAAACAATGGTTTATTTGTTAAATGTCAAGTCACCTAGTAATTCACATTCATTATGCTTATTATTATTATTAGTAATAGTAGTAGTATTATGGTTATTAATATTACTATTATTAGTATTGCCAGTTACTAAGCTAGTAAAATATTGTTTTACTTTAATATCATTGAATGAATTACCGAAATAAATTGTGGTTTAAATATAAATTATATTTCACATTTTCTTTCTTTTAATTTTTCTGATCTATAAAAATTGATTTGATTTAATTTATTAATATTGAGTTTTATGTAAAGAAACAATAAAGACAAAAGAAAAAGATAAGGAAAGAAATGCTTAGTTTATTCTTCTATTAATACGATGATATTTAACAAGTTTGTACTATGTCAAAAATAAGTATTATTAGGAAACATTCATATTAGTTTAATATCAGATATGTTTTGTACATATTATAGTAATTTCCATGGTTATGATCATGAATCAGTTGAAGCTAGACCACAATGGTAACCTGGAATCACTGGATGGCCATTTCGTCCCATTGTGGGAATCCTCAGCAGTGCGCATCTACGGCGTTGACCCCTGCGAGATTTGAGCCAAGGACCTACTGATTTCACGCGCGATCACTTAACCGCTAGACCACTAAGTTGGCAGGCATCCAATGGTGTTAATTTCTAACTTCAACTTCATATTAGTTTGTACATCATTTGATATGAGATTACATTTCTTCAGTTTTATCTTGATTGTATTTTTTAAGTAATTTTGTGACATATATATCGGCTTTTCTTTTTCTTGTTTTTATTTATTTTTATTTTTTTTTTTTGAAAATGTCAAAACTACACAAGTATCCCATTTATGTTAGGTTCTAGAGTAATTTGTACTTTATCACTATGTTACTTATTAGTAATATATTGATTACAATGAAAATGTCGGAATGAAATTTTACAAGCAGAACATTATTAGTAGTAATAATAATATAATGGCTTTATTTAATATTATATTTTGGTACAATATAGAACTCTCAGCATAGGGTATTTCAAAAAGTTTCTTACACACACAAAAAACAGAAACAAAGGCAAACAAAAGGGAAAAAAAGGTTTAAAAAATATCTGAAAAACTACAACTTTCCAAATTAGAGACATGTTAAGAATGCAGGTTATTGACTAGGTTAACTCTAACAACCTGTTCGTCACAGAGTATATTTGCTAGATAAGGTATTATAGAACTTTTATGCTTTTGCTTACGTGCATGGATTTTAGTGTAATTACGTCTCGTTCTACCAGAAGATATACAAAGAGAAAGATAAGAGTGAATGAGATGGTTAGTATCTGATAAAATAACACATGCCAGGAGTTTGCATGACTTTAGATGTTTATCCACAACCATATTAATTATGACCTCGAAAGATTCACTACACATCTTGCTAACTGCCTTCAACACTCTCCACAATACAGCAAAGTCTTTTCTCATAACTCCGAGAAAGAATAATGGAGAACAGTAAAGAATAATAGGTAATATGCAAGAATTGACAAATTGTAAGAGTAAATGACAAGTAATCCCGAGAACATGCAATCTATTTATGTAGTAAGTCAAACGGAAAACCTTCTCCGATAGCAACGAAACGTGAGAAGGCCAAGAGAGATCAGAGGAAAAGGTGATACCAAGATAATTGACCTTCGACACTGTTTTCTTTGTTCATATTTTCATTTACAATGTTTGAAGCTAAAGATTGTAGATGCTTCTTTAGTCCAAACAAATAAGTTTATCAGTGACTGATTTATGTTACATTGTATTACAATCGTTAAGTTAACACTTTGATCTTTAAACTATACTTTATGTACTGAATCATATCATATGTAGGTAACAATTGGATTAAGATTACTGTTCACATACAATAATTATTGTTGTAAACGAGATTTAAAGTTTGATGGTTAAATTTTCCTGTTTGTTTTAGTGTATATCATGTTTCAATACCATTCAGTTAACAATGGCATTTATGCGGACTTGGTATTTCAGTTAAAAAAAACGTTACTGAAAGTGATTTGAATGATTTGTTTTGTGCATTAAGTACATTAGATTATTAATTCATTGATAAAAATACACTTCATTTGATGCATTCAAATTTAATTATTGACTGGATACTTTAATGACACAGTTTATTTTATATTCTGATGTTATTTTAGTGAGTTGCAAATATGTGGTTTGGTACAGATATCAGTGTTCATCTAGTCGTGATACCTAATTTTCATGGAGCCAAGACATTTTTCCCGTCGAGAGAGAATGACAAGTTAAATTCATCAGTCGATATAAGCTAGAACACTATTGAAAAACAGGAAGCACTGGGCAACCGTTTGGTCCTAGTATGGAACTTCCTAGGTAATAAGCGTCCACGACCCCGCTCGTGGTGTTCGAACCCAGGACCTCAGGACTCGCACGCAAACGCTTAGCCTCTAGGTCACTGATCTAGCATCCAAAATTGTTGATGTCTAACTATTAAAATCACTACAATCTCTACATATCCCATTCTGATCTTAGTCATATGCTCAATAGTGACTAACTTCGAAAGGTATTTCCTGGAGTTCCAGTGAGAAGCTGTGACTAGTAGAGTTCAACTGGGTCTATTATGAGATAGTAACTTACTGATTACAATGGTGGACGATGGCGCAACTTCGAGGATTGATTGAATTTAGACATTAACACATTTTGAGTTCTGCAAGAAGTACGATCATTTCAGAACTCAGAGAAACTTATTTTCATCAGTTTTAGTTCATTCCTAATGTAATAATCTGTGTGTAATTATTGCACAGTTCATTATGATTATTTTAGTCAATGTCAGTTCATGATTAAAACAGTCTTCAGATCTGGGATCATGTACCTGAGTAGAGTTGAGATTTAAATCGAATAGGAAATAAAATTCTTAAATGTTGCTCTAGGTAGTGTAATCATATTCCATCATCTCTCAAACATTATATTTATTGTTGACTTCGGAAATGTGTGGAAAAATTGAAATAGAAGTTATTTTATTAAATAATGTCTTGGAACATAACATGTTCAATTATTATCCGTTGGTATGTAACAATGTTGTCGACAAGTTTGCAGAGATCATCGAATTAAATAACTTGGTATTAAAACAGAAATGGCTAAAACTAGAAGCTGCTAACGATCATATTTGAGTTTACTATATCGCTCTTCAATAGTGTTAAATACCTTTTGATATTTAATTGCTTACTTGCGAATTCTAAGTTTTTCATGTATTACTTGGTAGTAATAATAAGTGAATTTTTCATTCATTTGATTTATTCTCCTTTGTAGAACATTCTCATCATCCATAAATGTGAACACAATCACTTTAAAGTCAAATGATTTTGAGTCTTCTAATGATTTATCAAAGAGTCCACTTTTATTTTCATCAAGATTTCAATCATCAATGTATGAAAGTAATAAAGATTTCAAAGAAGTACGTTTTATATGTGAAGATTCTAGTAAACGGAACTCAGTGAATACCGATGAAATTAATAATAATACTGATACTACTAACAATAAACAAGTAGTTAACATAATTACTCATAAAACTAATTACAATGAGAATAACAGCACTATTAATAGAAAAGATTCAGTTCATAATGATTCATCTGAGAATATGATGAAAATATCAATAACAAATGGATTTTGGCCAGGCAATCCATATTCACCTCTACCATCACCGGATATATCTATCTTAGACTCTGATTTAAATGACAGTATGTGATTTTATTTGATAAATTATTTATTGATTATGCTTGATTTAATTCACCTTATATAAATTAATGTTGTTCCGAGAAATAAGCTAAGGAAACATATAAATACATTGAGAGGAATCAGTTCAATTCTAGAAGATATATAAACGTTCAGACAATAATCTATTAAAACATCTTTCAACAGAAAAACTAGTGTAGTTAGGAGGAATATATGTCCCTAGTACAGTATATAGCCATTAGTGGTACTTTATGATATTACATATATGAGATAGTCATACTATGTAACCATTAAATTAGCACATCTTTGAACACCCTTTATAAGTATATTGTTGTATATATGTTTCAATTTATCTGGGTATAATATTATGTAACCTACTGTTTACTCATTTTATAAAATGAGCTATTTTCATTTGCTAAACAAAGAGTGACAAATAGTATGAATAACCCATACTTCTTATCCGTTCATTACAATTAAATGTGTTTCGTAGTTAATGGGTGAAATGTATGTGAATGGCTTCATGTTCATTTCTGCCTTTTCTCGATGACAAAGTAAACTGACTACAGTAATGACAACTACCCTGAGGAATCTCATCATAGGACGAAACGACCTTCCAGTACATCCAGATTTTCAAAGACAGTCTAACATTGGTCGATTCATGATTTCAATGAAATTTAAAAATCTTGACAAACCCAAACTGATCATTCAAAATTATACTAACAAGTAACTAATTAAGATAATAAAAATTATGGCATTATAGCTTATATCAGTTCGTGATAAAAACCCTAAATCTAATTCATAACTCTAACTATCAACTGTAAATATTAATCCTAATTCCTCATACCGGTTTATAACTGTTATTTGGCCGTAGTATGCACATGGATTTCCTCAAAATCTTCTTAGCGTCACTCAAAGATCGTCCACGAATCATAGTCTCACCCAATTTTTTTTTCAAAATTCTGATTACAATGTATTATTCACAGTATTTATTTGTAGACTATTTAATTTCAATTTTATTATAATTTAATGTCGGTTAAATACATATGCCTATGGTTTGAACCAAACCATCCAGCTCAGAGTAAAAAACTCCATCAAAATCATCTGCCCGAGTTATAAACCTTCTGTACCATCTCAAAATACATATACTTGATTATTTTTTATCAAAGTGATTAATGCATTTTATAGAAGACAACCTGCTGTCCATCATCTTTTGCATAAAACATACTAATAGTCAATTAAAACTAGACCACCATGAAAAACCTGCGAGTGCTGGACAGCCATTTTGCTGTAGTATGGGACTACTCAGCGCTGCACATCCACAACCATGCATTTAGGACTCGAACTCAGGACCTCCGGTCTAGCTTGAGGACGCTTAAACTCCAAACCACCGAGTGGGCTGGCATCAAACGGCGTTAATGTCTAACTTCAACCAATCTACGAAGTTGCGCCACTGGCCACTACTGTCTTCAGTGAGTTACTATCTCACAAAAGACTTGGTTGAACTATAGTGGTCACGGTTTATCACTCGAACTCCTGGAAATACCTCTTGAATTCAGTCACTAGTGAGCACATGATGATTAACAATATTCATTTACCAATTATATATATATATATATATATATATATATATATATATATATATATATATATATATATATAATCTTGACAACTGGTTGATTGCGATAATCTGAAATAACCTAAAATTGTATTGTAAATGACTATAATTTCAACACTCAAAGCATCGTTTAATCAATCGCTTTCAGCATTCAGGCCCATTAAGCATAAGATCGGATAATGAATATTGCTTAAAGTCGACGATGGCTGTTAGTGTCGAATTTCAGAATGATTGATTTATCCGGTGTGGAAATGATCATCTAGATGAAGCTATATCACTGTTAATGTTCGCAATAGGGCAGAAACGTTGTACCTGACATTTCAAATGTTGCGTCTTAACGACTTCTGAAAAAAATACGTCGTTAAAAGCCTTAAATACTTCAAAGTAATTTCAAAAAATGGAACTGAATCTTCAGTTAAATAGGTTGGTTCAAAACCATGTAATTTTAAAACTTATACAGTCGATAAAATTCATGCGTGGATGTGCACTGCTGAGGAGCCCCATACTAGGACAAAACGGTTATCCAGTGCTTCCAAGATTTCAGTGGTTGTCTAACTTAGATTGATTCATGAATTTGACTGTACAATGTGCAGTCAAGTAACCAACTTGTCATCAGATATGTCTATATAAATAGTGTAGAGCTTAAACAACGCAATGTAAGTCTATTTTGTTCATGAGCCACATATAGTACGAATTATAATTAACTTATCTAACTGTTAGTCAAATTTCAAATATTCTGCATTTTGTGGAAAATATGTTCGATTGCCCTGCAATTTTTTTGATTGTTCCAACTGTCTCAGGGAAACATTCAAATTCATATCAGTTACTAATTGTATCAGTTCACTGATCCTAAATTTAGTAGTTGTTCACATAGGAAAATCAGTGTTCAGCAACGTTCACCAACTTGGATATTCAAAATGGAAATAAGATGGTTTGTATGTCAAACTGTGATTGACTTTAACCATGAGTAGGAAACAACATACATACTTCAACAAGACACTTATTTAAAACCATTTAATGTTTAATAAATGACCGATGGACGTCATAGTAAATTATTCACATGGTAAACAAAATCGGTCATACCAATGGAAACTAGATACAGCAAACTACAATCGACTATTCCACATACAAAGATGAAGTCTTAACTTATTATCACACGTAGCTATGACAACAACTGTGGACACTAAAGTTGGGAAAACCATCTCACCACTAAATTCATATTTTTATGCATGAGAAAATCTCTGCAATCAAACACATATTTAGAAGCATTAACTAGTAGACGTATCATATCATCAGGGGAATATTCATTTATTATAAATATGTTGATTGGAAGAAGACAACAGTTGAATGTCACCAGTGGAGTGTTCACATATATACACATAAACACAGACCACTGAACTAAACAACGAAACTACAAACGTCTTATACTTTGACGTTAACCAGTAGTTGATTGTAAACATAGAAATGAGTAAATTTATCTAATTACATCTAATCACTCGACTGAAATGATGTCTTCTCACTATGTAAACATTTCCACTAAGTTTACTGATAAGGAGTAACTTCAATGTACATTGATAATAAATATCATAGCTAATACTGTTTTCTACATAAATTCATCTTACTATTTTCAAAAGAATTGAAGACATATAAACCTCTGAAATGCTTTATTCTTGTCAATGATGAAGTGTTTTCCATGAATTCAATGTCAGTTTTTGTTGCTTACTCAAATTGTTATCATCACTGTTATCATTTTTGAATTTAGTTTTAGAAAACATGATGACAGTAATGATGATAGTGATGATAATAATAATAATAATGGTAATAACATAAATCTATGTGTTCTTCACCCTGTGATGTTGCTTAAACAGACATATTGTATCAAGGATATTGTTCCACCACTTTCAAATTATGATGGATTTTATGTCAACTGATATAGTGTCACAGCAATACCTGCTCAAAAATGAATGAACAGGAATTTTTAAAGATTTTCTATTGATCATTTTATAATGCATAGAAGTGAATAATTCCATAATGAACAGAGAATTTATATACTAATTAAAAATTCAACCATCGCACAAGCTGGTAGCTATCTATGCTCAGTAGTTAAGTGGACAACACGATAGTGTTTGGAGAGAAAGTTACTGTTTCCAAGTCCCAGAGCAAAAATCAACACTGTGATGAAGGTACATATAGATGACGAGTCGTAAATGGGTCGAGGAATGTGTCCTGGATTTCACTTCTAGTCACCATTCATCTCTGTTTAATATCTAATTATTCAGTTATGTGATTTTTTCTTCATTAACAAGTGCCTTATCATCGGTTTCAAAATCATGTTGACTTTAATTTATAGATTAAATAATTAGACTATCGGGATGGTTTTTAAAATACTTTTAGGTTGAATGGATCATAACAGTCCACAGTAGAGTAAAACTATCCACTCTTTATCTCACACGTGTTCCTAAATTCCCGTATTCCATCATGTATACCTTTTCAATCTGTCTTTTCAAACCATATCTCCAAGGTTCACTCTTTATCTTCATCATTGCTACTACGTTAGTTCACTTTGTCCTGCTATTTTTGCATCTCTTCACGCTAATCATATGTGGTTTAATCTTCTAATACATCTTTTTACTAGACTCTGTGTTGATGCTGTCTATCTGTCAATTATTTCTGATATCAGTGAACTATTCGAAAGACAAAAGTATTACTAGTTAGTCAATAAACGACCATTAAAAATTTATAACACTATTCATATAATTGTTAGAATTCGGGATTCATTAGCAACTATAGGCCATAAAATCTAACGGAGAGAACGAGATATCATTATTATTATTGAGCGATTTAATCGAAATCTATAGTTTAGGACTCCAATCGACTGGTTATAGAATATCTCCAACATTCAGTTATATTGGTAACAGCCATTTAACTTCTTTAGCCCGTTTAACAGTACTTCAAACCCTACTGTCAAAGAATTTATGGTGAGACTATAATTTATGGACGACCTTTGAGCGACGTTATACTGAGCTTGAGAGTATCCACTTAACAACTAAGACCAAATGAGGGTTATAAAGCAGTTTGAAGAATAATGATTATGATTCACAGTTGATGATTAGGGTTAGGAATTAGATTATCACAAACTGACATCAGCTTTAATGCCAAAGCTGTGAATGGATTTCGTGCCAAAATCCGAAACCTGTTTTCTTATACATGATTGGTTCGTCCATAAATTATAGTCTTGCGGAATTTATTTCTAAGCATACAACGAACAAGTATGTTAATTTCGCTTACTTATCGAAAAATAGTAATCTAGTAATAAATGTTTTTCAAGTTGATGTCAGTTTGGGATGCATATTTTCTTTTGAAAAATACATTGATCAGAGTGCTATAAAC